TTGATTTGACATCAAAATCTGGCCCCATTCCAGAAAATGAAACCAAATCATTGCTGACAGGAATAGATCCAAAAAGGCTCAGCCAACTTTGGAAAGTACCCACAGGGCTGCCATCAACTCTGTATTTTGACTTTGCAGCAATGCTTAGAATGTCTCTGAAGGTGGTGGTGGTAGTGGGGCTTATTTCTACTTTAACTTGCCAAAGTAGAAAAGGTCTCCAAGGCTAGAGTTAAGGCTTGGATGCTGTGTAGCCAGATATCTTGGCAGACATCTGGTACTTGCAGAGGAAAAATATTTGAGGAAGCTGCCTGCCACAGGGAGTCATGGGAGTGGTAAGGACAGGCAGGAAAAAGATTGCTCTGTCCATAGCAATAAGGATGGGTCAGATGAATCAGAGTATTCCAGGGAATGGCCATTCTAACTTCAGGGCACCATAGGCGATGTGTATGGGTTGAAGGGGAAAGAGGCTAGCTCTTTGTTCTTATCCACTCTCCTGGCCTCCCAGCCTCAGCTCTCATCCTGTATTCCATTCTCAAAGGCCTCTTTGTCAGCTTGAAGATCAAAGAGCGTTTCTGGAAGAAGAGCTTGTAAGCCAGGAACGGCTGACAACTAAGATGGGCACACCTGCATGCTCAGACATCAGCTCAGGAAAAAGCAGGGCTGAAACAGATAATACCAAGTAGCCCCCTAGATCCAGCTGTGCCTGAAGACCCTGCATCTTTTGATGAAAGGAACAAAAAGAAAACCTGAGGTTTTGCTTAAGAAAGTTACAATGGTTCCCTCCTCCCCTATATGAATAACATAAGGGGGTGGGGCTGGAGAGATGGCTCAGCAGTTAAGAACACTGGCAGCTCCTCTAGAGGACCTGGGTCCAATTCCCAGCATCCACATGACAGATTACAGTTATCTGTAATTCCAGTTCCAGGAGATCTGACACCCTTTTCTAGCCTTTTGAGGCAATTCATGCATGTGGCACACAGATATACAGGCAGGCACAACACCCATACACATAAAATAAAATAAATCTTTTGTAAAGACAAAGACCATGAAAAACATCTTAACTGTAACAGTACTGACTGTTAAAAGTCTGTTATGACTTTTAAGTGCAGATTCCCTGCAACAGCCAAGGTAGGGTGCAGAGAACTTTGGACGGGAGCTACCTAATATGGTGTCTTAGTCGGGGTTACTATCGCTATGATGAAACACCATGACCAAAAGCAAGTTGAGGAAGGGCTTATTTGGCTTACACTTTCACATCATAGTCCTTCTCTGAAGGAAGTCGGGACAGGGCAGAAACTGAAGCAGGGAGGTAGGAGTTTACTAGCTTGGCAAGGCATTACTGCTTCTTGGCTTTCTCCCCATGGATTGCTCAGCCTGCTTTTCTTAACCCAGGACCACCAGCAGCCCAGGGATAGCACCACTTACAATGGGCTGGACCTACCCCCACCAATCACTAAGAAAATGCTTTACAGCTGCATGATGGAGGCATTTTCTCAATTGAGGTTCCCTCCCTTCCAGTGACTCCAGCTTGTGTCAAGTTGACATAAACTAGCCAGCACACATCAGAAATCCAGAATCTGGAGACATTAGAAGAGAACTGGCCAGTTCCTGCCTCAGGGGGGCCTCAGAAAATCAAGGAAGATTTTCAGGGCTGATTTGTGTGCCTGGAGTTTTACAAGGAACATTAGTCAGACCCACTCATAACATAGTGGCGTATAGGTTTTCTTGGGGTTGGCCAAATAATGGTAGTAATTCCCTTCTGCTGGGCTCTTGGTACACGCCAACGGGTTATGTGGATAGTCTCATTTAATCCTTACAGCACCCTGATAGACCGAGACAGTGCTGGCACTATTTTCTAGAAACTATTCCATAAAATCTGGAGAATGATCTAGTTTTGAGTGACTTTATCAAGTACAGAGCAAGCCAAAATAAAAGAACAAATAGCAAATAGTAGACAGACAGATAGATAGGTAGACAGACAGGAAAACACCATTAAACTGTGCATTCAAAACACCCAGCAGAAATGAACTTTGGGAGCCTGTTGAGGCAGTCAGCTTGTGATCCTGATAGAGTCCAGGGTGAATCCATTTGAGTGAGGCTTCCAAGAAAAATAACAACAAAAAACAGAAAAACAAAAGAAACAAACAAAACAAGTAGGAAGGAAACAGCAAACTGAGGGATCATGTCATCTAGCAGAAACTGATTGGCATTCCCAAATGAGCTTTCTGTCAGGGGACAAACCTTCTGTAGGTGAACTTCTGGTTTCTCTTCCCCACTGTTGGCACTTACATATCACGGGATAAACAAGAACATCTGCAGGAAATCACTTACCTTCCAGCCTTTCTCAAGGACATAGTATTTTTATTCTTGGGCTGTTTTGCCGTTCTCACAGAGTTAGGGGTGGGTAGATCATTTCCAGACTAGAGGCCTTGAAGGACACTTTGAGACAAATATACTTGGTTTGAAAGAGTGGTTTGTGGGATCAGCCTGCTTTAAGAGCCAGCTTCTCGGTGGGCTCAGACACATGTCAATTTACCGATACATTGACTAAACCAAACTCTCACAGTCAGGAAGTCACATAGCTCATCAGTGACAAAGTAATGCTTTAAATCTAGTACATATTCTAAAGCCTGTGCTTTAACCACTTTTAAGCCATTCATGGTCTAGTGCTGCAAGAGGGCTTTGGCTAGATGAAGAATTAATATTAATCTTTTTTGTCGGCGCTGTCCTCAGAGTTTGTAATGCAAAACTGAATATGCAATATCACTACCTCATTTTTTGTACACATGGAAATAGACTCAGAAGTAGAAAATGACTTTGCTCAATTACTTGGGAATTGAATATACCACCCAGAGATGACTCTTCTCAACTTGAGGGACCAGGCTGTAGTCTGCAGAAAGTCAGTGTGCGTGCTGAGGTGGGGGAGCAAGCCTCATCACATCAACCATGTATAAGAACAGTGATGGGTTCAGTGTGGCAAGAAAGGTCTTTAAGAGGTCAGGGGACCAGTGAGAACTATGGCCACAGATTCAATTGCAGACCCCAAACCCCACTAAAGCAATGAGCTCTGAATTCACACAAAGGTTCCCAGCTCCAGCCACAGCCCATTGATTTTTCAGCAACACTTGATATGGCCAAATTCCAGTTTAACCAGACAGATCCTAATTCCTGTTGTTCCCAGGGGGAGTCCAGTGATGACAAGAGCCCCTTTCTTCTGTCAGAACATCCTCAACAATAAAAGGCTACAAGACTGAGCTAAACTGTCTCAAGAATTCCAACTCCTTCCCCAGAGCATCTATCTTCCTGATTTCTTTCCTGAGGAATGATGTTGTCCCAACCCAAACCACATGCGCCCTCTGTGCTGGGCTGTTCTGACATTCTGCCAAGCTGGGAGGCACCTGTCCTAGAGAGACAATGCAGGGCTGTCTTTCATAGCTCCCTAGGCAACCCACTGGAGGAGCGACCAGGTAGGGACCCAGGCAACAGGACAGAAAGGGTTCAGGGCAATCATTATGGAAGTGTGCCAGAGGACTGGAAGATGAACAGCCCCACCTGCTCTCTGCTTGTGGAAAAGCCTGGAGCTTCCTTGAAGCTAGGTGAGCAGCTTTCTGGATTTGTTTTCCTAAAAGCAGTCTGTGTACTCCAAAAACTAGGGCAGGGTTTGAAGGGAGGGCAGAGGGAAATAAGCAAGTCCATGAGGTTGAAGCCAGGTCTGCAGACCAGCACAGATTCTCAGGATAGATCCTGCAGCTCTGCCTCTTGTTTTCCTCAGACACAACCTTAACTTTTTGCCATGCCTAGACTAGTGGTGTGCTCGTAACAGGACTGTGAGATGATGGTACTCGGAGAATACTTTCACAGCACAGTGAGTAACGGGAAGGAAGGGGTCAGGACATTCCGGAGGCAGATTGGGTGGTTTGCATATTTGCCTGTATAAAGGGGATTAATGGTGGTGCTATCTCATAATTGCTGTCCTTCACTAGGATAACACATTTTAAGTGTTCACACTAGTGTCTAGCTCACAACCATAAGAACTGTCATTAATGTGACTTATGGTGCTCTCAGGGCACAGATCTTTCTGATTCATGCCTGCTTCTGTGAGGTGGAGAGAAGTGTGGTGATTCCATCACATAGACATGTGATTTGTACTAAGTCATGCATCAAGACTCCATCCCAGAAGAAACAGAACACTCCTTTTAGAATGGCTAGAAAGTATGAATGAGTCTCAAAGAAAAACGTCTTTTCCCACAAGGATGCATTCCACCTCCATCCCTGAGCGTAAACCCTAGTGTTTGCAGAGAACAAAACAGGTGTTTTCTTGGTTTTCTTAAGGCAGGTGTACTCCCAGAGAGGTGAAAGCTTCAGACCAGACCTGCCTCCCCACCTCCGGTACTGGGCTTGGAACAGAGGGTTCCAAGAGGAGGAGGGTCCCCAGAAAGCCCAGCTCTAGCCCGTCCTCCTGCAACCCCCTCCGCAGTCACGTGGCCCGGTGGGTGGGGACCGACCTGAAGTTGTTGGAATTCGGAGCCCTCCCAACTTTGGAGCACAGAGGAGCGACTCTGAGAAGCCCAGCATGGCTCAGCTGTCGGTGATCCCGGGATCGGCCGCGGCGTGGACAGGTAAACCTGTAGTTCAAGGGTGGCGGCTGGTGTGGAAGAGGCTACTGGAGCACAGGGCCGCACAGCCCATCCCATGCAGGGCACGCAGGGCAACCCACGCGGGAGAGGGCAGAGTTGGGCGAAGCGGCTCCGCTGGACACTCCGCGCCCCAGGGATGGCCAGTCCGCCGCGGGCTGCTCCTTGCTGGCCTTTTTCTCCGGGTGGGTGATGGAGCGTAGGTGGGTGATTGACGCTAGACATCACCCCAACCCCTGCGCCGGAGGGGCGGGGCGCCGTGCCGGCCACGCCCTCTCCCGCGCACTGGCTGCTCCCCGTGACGTCACGCTCGGCTATAAAAGGCGCGGGAGCCGGCTCCCGCGGCGCGGTCAAGGAGCTCGAGGCTGAGTGCTAGGGCGGGGAGACCCGGCCGCCGGGCCGCCGGCGCCTCAGCGATGTTTTACTCAGGGCTCCTCACCGAGGGCGGCCGCAAGGAGAGCGACATGCGGGAAGCGGCGTCGCTGCGGCAGCAGCGCCGGATGAAGCAGGCGGTGCAGTTCATCCACAAGGACTCCGCCGACCTGCTGCCCCTGGACGGCCTCAAAAAGCTGGGCTCGTCCAAGGACACGGTGAGCGCCCCACCCCCGGCCACGCCCGCTGTGGGCCTCCGGCCGCCGCGGTCACCCAGGCCCTCGCTGCCGCTTTCACTGAGTCACCCAGCCAGGCCTGTCCCTGCCTGCCCCCTGGGGTCCTCGTAGCTTCCCTCGCCTCTTCTCCCTCGGCGCAGCCTCCTCCCTCCCGGCTCTCTCCTTCCTAACGTAAGGAGAAAAGACCCTGCCCTATTGCCCTCGGATCTCCTTTCCCTCCGCTTATCCAGAATCTCGAAATTGGCTCCCGGAGCTGGAGCCTCGCTGCGAAGTCTTGGCTCCCGCTGCCTCCTCGCAGGCTGCGTGGCCAGTTCTGTGTCCCAGGCAGAGGTGACTCGCAGTGGGTGATTGAAAAGAGTGGAAAGCGAGGTTTCTTGACAGTTGCTGAATCTATATGACTTTGGTTGATTCTACTGCGGCCCCCTCTCCGCTGCCTTAAATCTACTTAGTTAAGTTTTGGTCTTAATCTATCTACCTTTGATACTTTACCCGATGGGGGGGGGGGGGGGATCAGGGGGAAAGGGAGATTCAAGCTCGAATATTTCCAGAACCTAAACATCTTTTCTTCACTCTCATCTCTCCCTCTTCTTCAGTCTTCTCTCTCTATAAAGAGAGAGAGGAGGGAGGAAGCCCTGACTTTTCCATCTCACAGATGAGATAATGCGAGTACGTAGTTGGAGCTGGGGAAGGTGCAGTGTTTTTATTTTTGTCAGGATTATTCTTGGTATTAAGTCCAGGACGTAGGCCAGAATCCAAAACCATGTTGTCCTCCATCTATAAGGGTGAATGGCTGAGGGATATGGCCTATAGTTAATTCTCACCCCTGCTCACAGGTTTATGTGTAACTGGGTAGCTTCATGCGGAGTCTGCTTGTGCTTTGATGTTTTTAAATTGCTATATAACCTAGGCTAGCTTGGACCTCATCACATGGACCATGTTGACTTCTAATTCTTTATCCACCTGTCACAGCCTCATGAGATTGCTGAGATTATATAGGCATCACCACTCCCAGCTTTTATTCTTTTCTTGTATTTATAGTTTTCTTAATTATCTGTGGATAAATTTATGAAACAATAATTAATGTCTTTTTTCAGTAGAAATAAATACTCTAGATAATATTTCTAGTATTTTTATAGTTTGAGCTTCTGAAATACTTAATTTTGAATGTGCTTGCTGGCCCTGCGTCACTGAAATTGCCATTTCTGGCCCCAGTATGGAAATGGAGGCAAGCACTTCTGCTTTTTTTTTTTTTTTTCCTTTCAATAGTCTGAATGATCCATCAATACCAAAGATTTTTCCTTCCTGACATTAGATACTTCCATGAAGGGAAAGTTACTCCAGTTATTCTACTCTTTTTAAAAAGCTGTTGTTCTGCTTGAGTCTGGGTACAGTTGATCTAATCATGCTAGCCGAGAGTGATGAGTGATGAAAACATATTCCTACCAAAGAGATGGCTCTCTCTTCCCTTCTTTCATTTTAAAGCATTCACGATTCATTTGGCAAACACAGTCCAAATCTCCTCTCTTTCAGACCAAAGTGGTCCAGTTCCATAAGGTGAAAGGTATTATGAGAAGAATTAAAGTGTGGGCTTGTAGAGTGCCAGATCTAAGGCATTGATGTTTGCTTTGGGGGCTAAGGAGTTCTCTAATGGGAATTACCACAACATCTTTCTTAGAGTCCTTATACTGCTTTGTACTTAGAAAGGAAAATTCTGTTCTGACTCCCTCTGTCACAGTTGAGCCACCTGGAGTAAAAGCAAAGAACATAGCTGCAGGCTACAAAGAGGATGCTTTCAGAGCATAGCCATGGGTGTGACACAAGCAGCTGACTGTGAAAGCCTGAACCATGCTTCACACTTTCTGATTCCCATTTTCATAGACTTAATTTTCCTCTCTGACTGTTCTCACACCTCTAATGTGCCAGTTAATTCAGGGAGGAACACATCACAGAAACCAAGGCTGAGTGAAGGAGGGCAGGGAGAGATGCAAGTGCTGGGGAGAAGCAGCGTGCTTAAAGCTCTTTTGGAACTGATATTGCAGCCTCAAAGCAATCTTAAAAAGGATTTTAGAAACACATTCTTATCAACTCATTTTACAGACAAGACAGATCATGCTGACTCCATTTTCTTCCACAATGTGAAATTTGGAGGGTATTAAAATTCACAGTAGTTTTTATTTGAAGTAGTTAATCACATAGCACAATAGAAAGGGAAAAAAGGTGTGAGAGAAGGATGCAAATCCAGCTTTTATTGACTCGGGTTTGAGCAATGTTAAATGTGGGTTGTTTTTCATCATGTAAGTATACCATGTTTAAATTATGCTGCTGGCTTAATTTAGTTAAGCTAATTCTGAATTATCTACTGTGTATCATGCTGTTTCTATAATGTTTACAATTTGATAGCAAACGTTTTTGGTTTAGCAGATGGCACCTTTAAGGCAATCAAAGATGGTCATGCTCTCTTGACCCCAGGACAGTGCCTTTGTCCAGTTTTTTTGTGTATGCAGTTGGCTGCTACACAATCTGCTGTGGAAATTAGTCATATTTCTTATGTCTGGCTCTGTTATTTAATCATTTTATTGTATTTTGTATTAAACTAAGAACTAAAACCAGATTTCTGAGCCATATTATTTGGACTGAAAAAAAAAAAAAAAACCTGATATAGCTAAACACAGCATTCTTATTCTTGGAGTTTTGCTTACTATAATTTTCTTGTTTTGGCTGCCAGGATAATAAAAGTTCTTACTGTACTAAAGACTTTAGTTTTTGAAAGCAGTATATTATGTGATTATATGCTGTGTTTCTTATATGATCTTATTACTTACCTGTCTGACTATATCTTTCCTTGCCATGTAGCAGAGAGAGAAATTTTCTTTTCTTCCTATGTTTGAGTCTGTATATAGCTAAAACCTTAGCCAAACTATCTAGAATTACAGCCAGGGGAGGGATAAGAACACATTGAGGGCAACCGTCAAAAACCTGATGAGAACAGATCTCTGTCAATTAGATCAGCTCAGTCTGGTGCCCTTAGATTAGCTTCCTATAATGGCACAAGTCTATGACTAGAGAACTTTATAGCCTTAGAAAAGGAGCATTAAAATGCCAGTATAATACCAGCCTCTAGAAGGGAACCTATGATGGATGTGCTGAGTAGGAGTGGAAGTTGGGAGTGGATATGGTCAAGATACATTGTATATATATATGAAATTGTCAATAAATAAAATACTATTTTTTGCTTTCTTTCTTTCTTTCTTTCTTTCTTTCTTTCTTTCTTTCTTTCTTTCTTTCTTTCTTTCTTTCTTTTTTTTTTTTTGAGACAAGGTTTCTCTGTGTAGCCTTGGGTGTCCTGGACTTGCTTTGTAGACCAGGCTGGCCTCGAACTCACAATTATCTGCTTGCCTTTACCTCCCAGAGTGCTGAGAGTACAGGAGTGCACCACCACGTCCAGCTCAATAGAATACTATTTTTAAAGGTTTAGTTTTATGGAGATGCTGTAGTAAATGAGGGAGTAAAATGTGTTAGCAAAGAATGAATGTTCTGGGCAAAAAAAAATACAGCAGTTATGCTGGGAGACAGTGGTATAACACCTTTAATCCCAGCAACTGGGAAGTAGTTATGGGCAGATCTCTGAGATTGAGGCCAGCCTGGTCTACAGAGTAAGTTCCAGGACAGCCAAAGCTACACAGAGAAACCCCGTCTTGAACCCCCACCCCAAAAAAGATACAGCAGGTCCAATGGTCTGACCATCAGGGTGCGTCATATGGTTAGGGAATTGAGAAAGGACCAGTGTGGCTAGAGCAAAATGAGCAACGAGCGTAGTAATAGGAAATAGTAATAAACACAAATTGGAAGGCTGGATCTGTTGTTGGGCACTGAACACTGAACCAGAGCCTTGCACATGCTAGGTAAGCCTCTACCACTAAACTACATCCCCAGCCTCTGATATACATTTAAAACAAACAAACTTAGCTGTGGTCAATATGCAGAGAATGAACTGAAGCATAAAAATAAGACAAGTGAGGAGGCTGTTGCCTTATAGATAGAAAATGATGGTAGTTTGGTTAGATCAGAAGACGTATGAGGAAAAGGATATTGACTGAGGAGGTGGTTTAGAGAAAGGATCAACAGCACTTGGAAGGGGAGCATATGAAAAGAATCAAGAATGTGCATGATTCGAGGGAGATGGCTTAGTGCTTAAGAGCATTTGCAGCTAACTGGAGTTCAAGTCCTAGCACCCCCATGGTGGCTCAGAAACTTCTGTAACTCCAGTTCTAGGGGCTCTCACTTCTCCCCTCTTTTGGCCTTGCTAGGGTACACACACACCCATGCACGTACAACACCCATACACATAAAATAAAAATTAAAAGAAAAAGAATATGTATGAGTTGGGTTCTCTGCCCGTCGTTCTAAGCTATTTAGGACTAGAATGGGCAACATAGTGAGACCATTCTCAAAACTTCAACGAAAACAAAACAAGTAGATGGCAGTGCCATTTGCTAAGGTTGGCAGGAAGAAGTAACTGGCTGAACATAGAGTCAAACCTTTATTACTGTTAAAGAAGCGAAGCTTAGTGAGATTAGTGATTTGCCCAAGGTAATATGCGACAAGTGGTAATTTGCTAAAAGTAGAAAGCCTTCATGCAGTGATAATTAAATAGATGAGATTGGGAAGGAGGACGAGTGGTAGTTAGTAGCTCTTGAATGCTAAATTGAGAATTTTTGTTTGATCCAGCTGGCAAGAGAACCTTTGTAAGGGGAAGAGATTGTGAAGGTAATGTTTTAGGATTATAGATGCTTAGATTTAGCAGCAGTAGAAATGCAGAGTAATATATGAGGCAGCAGAATTTTATTCACCAAGATAGGGGATAGAGAAGAAAAATCAACCTTTATAGTAAATATGGGTAGGACAAGTTGAGTCTGAAGTGCCTGTGGAGTGTTCAAGTAGAGGCACACAGTTGGGTCTGTGGGCCTGAAACTCAAGAGTGA